GAGGTGAAATGATAAATCATGTGTGGAAGAGACACTACAAAAAAATGACTTTTTTTGGCATAAAATTTTGCCACAAATATATTTCTTACATCAAATTTTACTACAAATACTTTTTGTAACGGGGTATTTGTGACAATATTTAGAATCTGCCACAATTACCTTGTTACAAAAAGTCAAATTTTTTGTAGTGAGAACGAAAATATTAAGCTATTTTCTCTCAACATTGTTTCTCCTCAAAAAAGGAAAATTCTATGGAGGACTTAAGGTCCACAATGGACTTACATATGAGCAAAATAAGTATTTTCTTAATATTTAAATAAGTATCTATTTTTAAAAAAAACTAAAAAAAAATTATGTGAGAAAGTTTACAAAAATGGTATACACCCAAGTTCCAAGGTGCACCTTAGAAGCACTCCCTCAAAAAAGGTGAAATTTTTATATTCCTTCCACCTTTTATATTCAAACAAGAGAAAAATTTATTATTTTTATTTTACTCTTCAAAATTTTCAATCCTTATTGCTTTCGGTCATTAAAATGTATCCAAACGGGGACAAGATCGTAAATAATACTCGAGTTACTTAAGCAAGAGTAAAAATTGACAAATTGAAGTTGGAACTTATGATCTCACGTTTGATAAAGTCAGAATAATGCCGACATACTTGACGTTAATTTGGCGTTAGAGGGACTTTTCATTATTATTAAACGAAACCAACGCAACGGAGACAGCAGTAAATACAAAAGGCAATTTTTAGTTGGTGTCATTGATTTATACATTTCAAACAAACTTTAATTTTGGTCGGTCCAAGGAATGATGAAAGAAATTGTCTTTAAAAAAATTGAGTGAAACCCATCAAAAGGAAATCCAGAGAAGAGTAGCAAGATTTTTTTAAACTAGTTTTCCAAAAAATAAAGTGGAACGTCCACTCCGAACAACCCAAGAGCCTAATCGGCCAATCCGACCGAATAATAAAAAATGATAAATAATGATATAATCTTAGTCTTATTGTTAAAAAACTGTATTGGGCACGATGTGTACAAGGATAGTCCCATTTAATAAAGCTCACACATGAACGCGGCCAAGAATCGATTTTGAGACTTTCTACTTAACACTTCTTTTCAAGAACAATCTAATTTATTTTCCAATTAGTACCTCCGTCCCATTTTATAACGCCTGTTTCGGTTTATGATGTTTGACTGAAATTATTTTCAAATCATTTTATATGACAAATGCTATAGAATTAAAAAATAAAAATTATATTTTAAAAAACTACATCAAAAGATCTACAAAACTAGTAGTGACAATAATATTTTATTTTATCAAATTGCTAACGAAAATAGAGAAAGAAAGTGAATGAAGTTTGACCATGTGAATAGTAAATAGGCACTATAATTTGGGACGGAGGGAGTACTATTGAACTCTACATGACAGAGATCAATTTTTAAATTCCAGACTTAAGATTTTAGTTTTCTGTATTTTAGTTATACTCCCTTTCTCTCATATCTTTCTTCGCACATACTCTTTCAACTTCACGAGAACTTTATTTACTCTCTCCGTCCTAAAATTAACTTCAGTTACTAGTTTGACTTTTGCAGTCAAATATTTAAATTTTAACCGCAAATTACGGAAAAGTAAATTGAATTTTTATATAAATTTATTATCAATATATTCATTTTTTGAAACATAGTTTTGAAATATATTATTTCTATAATATAAATTTATATAAAAGTAAAAGGTATTAATGGTCAAATTATTGCATTGGAAACCGTGAAAACTCAAATGAGAAGTTAACTTGAAGACGGAGGGAGTATTTGTGTTTTTTTCATAGACTTTATGATAAAATATGTAATATTCTTGTCACCACTTATTTTGTTAAACTTTTGATATAACGTTTAAATATGTAAGTTTTATTCTTAATTATTATACCAATATTTAAATAAAATTTTAAGGTTTTTTTCGTTTTGCACAACGTAAAAAAAGATATGGAATAGAGGGAGTAATTATTATTGTATCTATATATATTCGAGAATCTAGACTTAGTCTTTGTTTTTTTCAACTGATGTGATTGGTTTCGATCAGATTGAAATAAATTCAGATCTAATATATCTATAGTTATATACTCCCTCTGTCCCAAAAAGTTTGTTACGTTTAGAAAAAATTGCGTCCCGTAAAGTCCGTTACATTTCTATTAAAAAACCACTTTTACCCCTTACTTTTTCATACCCTACCTATCACATCATACCTTTTTTCTAATAAACTACCCATCACATCCTACTTTTACCCATCACATCAAGGGTATTTTTGGAAAGTCAATACCAAAATATCCATCCCTTAATTTCCCAAAAAGTCAAACTGTCTCATTCTTTTTGGGACGGAGGGAGTATAAATTTATTTTAAATTTGATCTGATTCCAATAGAAATAAAAATCCTAATAAATAATAAAAAGTAGTTGAAGAGAATAAGTTCTTAATTATTAGACTCTAGATTTCATATTTTAATTATCATACCCCAAAATGTAAATTTCATAATAAGACTTAAGATTTCAATTATAAGACTCCAAGTCGAAACTTTTTTTAAGGCGAACAAAACGGGTCCTACCCTGCATTTAAGATCCACTTATTATTCACTCTATCAACATGTATGAAAGTGTTTTATTTTTAATATACGTCCAAAAGTAATTTTTCACTTCTATTTTTGTATTAAAAATTAAAGCAATTGAAAATATTTCTTTTTTTTTTTTCTAAAAAAATGTTACAATTTCATTTAATATTATAAAATATTTTTGAGAGGCAAATTATATTGTCTAAAAAATCAAATTAATTACTCTGTATATATAATTAAACTTTTTAAAGCGAAGTGGAGTATAATTGATTTTTTCAAAGGAGTGAAAACATAGTTGTGAAACGTTAATAAAGAAATATACTCCGTATGAATTTAAAGAGAGGGTCAATAGACGTACTCTCCGTTTTTTTGGTTCTCGTGTAGAAACTGTAGCTTGCAATATTTTGGAATATCTCCCAACTTTTCATAACTCTTTCTAGGTTTTCAATTTATTCATATTTTTTCCAATTCATCAAGTTATTTCCAAATATTTTTAGCTCTTTGTTTTTTCTGATTCCTCCATAAGTGACTTAATAATTACTCCCTCTGTCGCAGAATTGATTACAATTTCTTTCTCTCACATCTCAATAACCTTTACCTATTTGTTAGGTTTTATGATTATTTGATACAATAAAATATATTCTTTTTATTTCATGCTTTGTACAATTTTTCATGTCATTTTTTAATATGTAATTTTAATTTTTTTATCCATATATCAATTTGTAAATATAATAATTTCAAAAAATGAGAAATTTTGTCTCGTAAATTCCAAATTTTAATCAAATTTTTGATGGATGGAGTACATTCTATTATTATTCCAAATATTTTTATCATTATTGTTATTATTACTCCGCATTATTATTATTGTTAGAATATAAAAATCATTTCTAAGTTACAACTACAAACTTGATCTTATGGTTGAGTTGGTTTTGTGACATGGTATTACAGCGTTGTTGACAAAGATGTCATGATCAAGTTCGAAACCCAGCGTCACCCAATTTTAAAAAATAAATGTTCACGTGCAAGGCTGGAGAAGAAAACAAATTTCACTTGCACGTGAGAGGCGTGTTAGAATACAATTCAAAACCTTTCTTTGGTCATAATCAAACTTGTGGTTGTGTTGGTTCCTTGACAATTACTCCCTCCGTCCCATGAAACATGTGACTTTTGCTTTTTAGGAGGGATTTAAAGTGAGTATATTTTGATATTGAATTTCCAAAAATGTCCTTTGATGTGATGTGTAAAAGTATGATTTGATGGATAGATTATTAGTAAAAAGGTATGATGTGATAGTTAGGGTTTGAAAAAGTAGGGGGTAAAAGTGACTTTTTAATAGAAATGAGAAGTCTTTTGTGGGACGGATAAAAAAAGAAAGGAGAAAGGTTTCATGGGACAGAGGGAGTATTATTTTCCAAATTTTTTCTATATATTTCAACTCTTTTAATTCCAATTTCTTTCAACATACGCTATATAATATATTTTTCAACTCAAACGAAATAGAGCTTTCACCCCTATATTAGAGTATGAGCTAAACTCCACTATTGGTCCTTCAACTTTATCAATTGTATACGATTAGTCCTTCAAGTTTCAAAAGTCTATAAGTAGTCCTTCAAGTACACGTCACCCCTCTAGATTAGGTCCATTTGACGGTAAACGTTATAAGCTAAATGGAGTACTAGCTCCATAAAATACGGAGTAGTCGTACCTAGTAAAATTTACTTGTATTATATATGGAACTAGTATTCCATTTAGTTTTTAATGTTTACTGTCAAAAAGACATCATCTGGAGGGTTGACGTGTACTTGAAGGACTACTTGTGTACTTTTGAAACTTGAAGTACCAATCGTACAGAACTCATAAAGTCAATGACCCAATCCTGGATTTAGTCTTAGAGTATGTATTGAGAGGATCTATGGTGATGAACATAAAGTCCACATAGACCTTTTCACAATTTTTTTATTTTGAGAATGTCTATTTGAATGCTTTTATTATTATTATATATATATATATATATATATATATATATATATATATATATATATATATATATATATATATATATATATATATATATATGCAATAGTTATACGTAGAGAGAGCAAAGTCATTTATATTCAGTTTGCCTCGTAAATTCCTTATCTTAAGAAATTGTAATTCAATAAAAATCAATTTATACAAATCAATTTTTAAATAAATTAATTTTAAAAAATAAAGGGTTTGGCCTCGTAAATAATAAATTATAGTAATTCAATTTGGAAGCGAATAGGATTGTATTAGTATAAAAAAGGGACATCTATGGTCAAAGATTAGGGCTGGAAATCATTATTTTTAAAAAATCTGAATTTTGTGTAAAGATGAAGCGTATAGTAGTTAGCGTGTATTAGCTGAGGATAACATTGACCTGAAAGAAACCATAATGGAGACAGGCATCGCCGATTTGCCGGACGATGAGGTTTCGGTCGCCGGAGCCCAAATCAATGATGGGAACATCGTCGCAGGCAGAAACTTCCGACAGCTGCGGCCTTTGGGATGCGGGGCGGATATAACTGCGGGGAAGGGCGGCGTAACGGGTCCCGTTGGAAAGAACGGTAGCAGCCATTGAGTGGAATGGTAACACCGCCGGGATCGGAGAGTGGATTAATATTTTTATTACGGAGTAGATTAGTTAATTAATTATGGAGTGGCCCTTTAATTAGCTGATCAGATGAGAGTGAGTGGGTTGATACTTCTTCGGTTAGGTGCTCTTTATATACACACTTGACATCCCAAAACAACATTTTAAAAAATAAAAAAGACGTGCCTAAAAATTTATAATTTTAATATTACTTTTTTAATTTTTTCATTATATTATAATAAGATATGATATTACCTCCGTCACACAAAAAAATTTCATTTCTTTTTTAATTCGTCTCAAAAAACCTTTATTATTTTTATTAAAAAATTAAAGCCACTTTTATCCCTAATAATTTTTAACCTACCTATTACATTGCACTTTTCACTATTAATCTACACATCATATCCAAGGGTATTTTTGGAAAGTCAACACCAAAATATACTTCTTTTAAATTTTTTTAAAATCAGAACTAGAAAAATTTATGGAACGAATGGAGTATAATATATGATAGCTGAATCATAATTTAAAAGTAATTTTAAAGTTACACATTTTTATTTTTAATATACTCCCTCCGTTTGGAAAAAGTGTTTCTCTTTTGACTTTGTGTAAAAATAAAGAAGTATTAAATTATAGGTGACTTCCAATTTTGCCCTTGATGTGATAGGTTAAAGTAAGATGTGATGGGTAGATTATTAGAGATAAAGTATGATGTGATAGGTAGGGTATGAAAAAGTAAGGGTAAAAGTGGTTTTTTAATAGAAAGTGGAATTGTTTTGTTGGAAGTGAAAAAAATGAAAGAGGAAGTGTTTTTGAGAACGGAGGGAGTATTTCTTTTTCCGTCTTTGAGCGAAGGCTAATTTTGTAGAACATTCTTCACGAGGAGGATCCTCAAATGGCGGAAAGGACAAGAAGAAATTAGGTCTAAAGGTTGGCATTGCCAAGTCTGTAGGGAAATGCTATAATTGTGGCCTTTCCGACATTGCTCCTCTGACTGTAGGAAAAAGAAGCCCCAGAAAACAAAGAAGAAGGCAACTGAGGCTCTTTGCACGAAGCTAGATAACTTGGACTTATGTGTAGCTTTCACCGAGGTAAATCTTGTTGTGTCAAACCCGCAAGAGTGGTTTGTGGACACATGTTCCACACAACATATTGCTCCAATCAGGGCATGTTCCATGAGTTTTAAGAGACCTTCGATGACAAGGTTTAGATGGGTAACTCGGCCCAATCAAAAGTACAAGGAATTGGTAGAATCAAGTTGAAATGACTTTCGGCAAAGAGCTAACACTAAATGACGCGTTGTACGTGCCATACATTCACAAAAATCTAGTTTTAGAGTCATTGCTGATGAAACACGTCTTCTAGATGGTGTTTAAATACTATAAGCTGATCTTTTCCAAGAAAGAGATTTTTATACGGAAAGGATATATTTCTGATGGTCTAGTAAAGTTGAATATAATGAGTATTAGAGAAAAGGATAATAAAAACCCTGCCACTTATGTGTGTGAGTCTTCCAATTTATGGCATAGTAGAATAGGATATGTTAATTATGCATCTCTTCAAAAATTAATTAACATGGAACACATTCTCAAATTTAACATTAACTTAACTCACAAGTGTGAAACTTGTGTTGAGGCCAAGTTAACGCGCAGTTCATTCCAAACAATTGAACGAAATACACAACCTCTAGAGCTAGTTCACACTAACTTGTGTGATTTTTGAACAACGCCTTCAAGAGGTGGTGATAAGTACTTTATCACTTTTGTCAATGATAGCACAAAATATTGTCATATTTTTATGCTGAAAAGCAAAGATGAGGCACTGGACATTTTCGTTGGATATAAGAATAAAGTGGAAAATCAACTCAATTGCAAGATTAAAGCATTGTGAAGGGATAGAGGTAGAGAGTATGATGCTCTACTCAAGTAATTATACATCAAGTAACCCCACCTTACACACTGCAGTCTTACAATGTGACTAGACAGAAAAATCGCACTCTAAAAGACATGATGAATGTGATGCTACTCAGTTTTGGATTACCCCATAATATGTAGGGAGATGTTGATTTATCAAGTCATTACTTGCTAAACAAGATACCTTGTAAGAAACTTGACAAAACTCTGGACAAACTATGGCACAATAGGAAACCTTCATATAAGTATCTCAATGTGTGGGGGAGTCTTGCAAAAGTACTTGCACCACCACCCGAGAAAATGAAATCGGTCCAAAACAAGTTGATGGAATCTTCATTGGATGGGTACAATAGTACATCGTACCAGCTCTTCGTGTATAAATCAGATAATCATGAAATTCACAAAGACACGATTATAGAGTCACGAAATACAACGTTCTTTGAATACATCTTTCTGTGCAAGTCAAGCGATGGAGCTATTTCGTCCAAACGTACACATATCGAGATGATCAATAATGATGATCTAAATGAGTTGAGCTCCTTTAACAACAATGAAACCGAACCGAAAAATGAGTTGAGACAAAGTTAAAGAATGTGAACTGAAAAGACGTTTGGTTCTAATTTCATAACCTACTTGATAGAGTCCACTAAATTAGATTGTATATTAGGTCTCAAAAAATGAAATTTTATAATAGGTGAAGAAAGTATTTTAGTTAGTGGGTGTCATTATTTAAATAAATATAATCAAACTTACTTTATTTAAACGTATCATAAATAAATACAAAGTATAAAATTTATTTATGGGTGAATAGGTTTTTTTATTTATTACTCCGGGGTATTTAATTTTTTCTCACTTTTAATCCATTCATATATTGATTTTAATTTTTTTTAATGTAGTTATTGAAATGTATCATTTTTTAATTTTAATCTATTATTATTATTATTATAAATATATTCAAAGCTAATTCCATTTTAACATATCAAAAACTAATACTCATATGAAAGTTATTTATATCCGAAAAAACTATCCTATTTATTAATTAAACGTTTTTTTAGAAATGAAGAGAGTTAAAAAAGTTTATTGAATTGGAAAACATATTATCATAAAAAACGAATATTTCATAATTAAATTTAATCAAACATTTTATAACAAAACATTGAATTCACATTTTCTATATCTTAAATTAGGTGACATATTACTTATCAAAAAAATATAAAATTTATTTATAGGTGAAGAAAATATTTTATTTAATATGTGTCAATATTTAAATAAATATAATCAAACGAATACCATGTATATGTATAATGAAAAAGTGTAGAATTTATTTATAGGTGAGAAGTTTATTTTAGTTATTATTCGAAATGTTTTTGTAAATTTTATGATTTATCGAATCTAAGACGGGTATTATAAATAATTTTATGCATAGTTGTAAAAACATGTTTTATTAAAAATTTGGATTCATGGGTTCAAAATAAGTAATTATATTTTTTAAAAAAAGAGTTAAAAAAAGGTGAAGATTGAAGAGAGTAAATTTGCTTAAATTTCCACCTAATATGCCACACGTTAAGTTCTTAATATGCCACATGTCAAATTCTTAATATGACACATGTCAAGCTCTTAAGCATTGGAGTCTCAAATTTATAGATAAAGGATAAAGGATTTATAGGTGAGGAGTTTATTTTAGTTATTATTCTAAATGTTTTTGTAAATTTTATGATTTATCAAATCTAAGACAGGTATTATAAATAATTTTATGTATAGTTGTAAAAAAATATTTTATTAAAAATAATAAATTATATGAAAAAATTTTTTAATTATAAATTTGGATTCATGAGTTTAAAATAAGTAATTATAGTTTTTTAACAAAGAGTTAAAAAAGGTGAAGATTGAAGAGTTTAAATTTGCTTAAATTGCCACCTAATATGTCACATGTTAAGTTCTTACCACATGTCAAATTCTTCATATGACACATGTCAAACTCTTAAGCATTGGAGTCTCAAATTTATGTATAAAGGATTTTTATGGTAACTCTTCATCACATATGTAAATATCAATGTAGTTATTCACTTATTTGTGAGGATTTTTTTGGAAACTATTTATGAGAATTTATCATTAATAATTGCACTATTAGTATATATCTTGGTGCCTTGTAACTTGCAATATGATTAATATTTTTCAATTACTCCCTCCGTCCCAAATTATTTGCAACGTTTGCTTTTTGAGCAATCGCGAGAACTTTTGCTTATTTCTACGTTTTCATTGATTATTTGATAAAACAAAATACTCTTGACACCTCTTATTTTGAATAACTTTTCATGTAGTTTTTTGATATGTAAATTTTATTTTTATTTCTATACCAATATGTAAATAAAATAAATTTAAAAAACTTGATATTTTGCCTCGGGAATACAAGTGTGGCAAATATTTAGGGATGGAGGGAGTAATATTTTAGAGGCAGAGCCTTTTTCCACGTAGCTATCAATCCAATCTTGACTTGACAACAATTGACTTGATGGGCATCCATGCCCCTTAATGTGCAAAGGCATCCTAGAAAAAAGTTCAGGTAATCATGCCACATTTTTTGGAAATATATTTGTAATATTCATGCAACATCTCTTAAAACATCGCAAATACAATTAGGAGGAATAGTAACCAACTCCAAACTCTTAGATATAGAATCGGATACCCTAGGCAACAGGTTGGCGGCCTGATTCGCTGATTTTCAAGGAAATGACCATCTAATAGGACTGAACTCACACTTCCACAACATACAATCATGAATAATGCCTATTAAATAAGAGAAATCATTGTCACCTTCCTGCAGAGTTTGATTATCCATCTCTATCACGAGGCGCTGTTGTGAGAAATGTGCCTTGAGCCACTTCAAAGCCTCTCGAACCCCAATAGCCTCTGCCATCAATGCACTCTCCACTCGCCCCAAGCCTTGGGACGCTCGCAAATAAATCCTCCTCGTTCATCCTGCACCACAATCCCGACCCGGGCTATTTTTGTGTATAGATCGAAACTCGCATCAACATTACATTTCACCGTGTTTGGCTCTCGGGGTTCCCAAGCATCATGTGCGTCTGTATCCCCTCTCTATACATCAAGCCTTGGCCCAATCAGTGTCACAACCCCTTGTGTTGTCTGATCCTGCCTATGTGCCCTATAACCTTGTCTCACGGTGTACC